AATAATTGCAAATAGTCACCCTCAAACCATCTAATGAACAGACAAAAGAATTAGTAATAAATATAATAAATATGTAATTTACCAATCTTGCATGAAAATAATCCTTAACTCTTTCAGAAAAGAAGATTAAAAGACGCGTTTTTACTAATTAGTGCTTCACTGAATTTGAATTACCAATCAAATTTTTATGATTAAAAACTCGAGTCTTTTTGCTCTTATGGTAATCTAATGCATATGTACAAAGAAAATTGTCTGCATTAGCCCTATGAAAAATAAAATACGGAATTAACGTAAGTTAAATACGATTTTAAAAATATACATACGGAAGTAACGTATCTCTTATTATTATACTAGTACGGTTTTGAAAAATTACCCTTTCAAATTTAGTGTAAATTACGGAATTGATACGAAAACAGTACGGAGTTTGCAACATACTGAAAAGGTACGTTTTAATTCCGCATACACAGTGAAACACGATTTAGCGGATTTTGATTTAGTGGATTTAAGGGTTTAACGGATAAAATTTCGGAACAGAATTTTTTTATAGTTATTTTATCTTGATTTAACGGGTTTAGCGGTTTTTTATATATTAATAGAGGGTCTTTGACTTAATTAGTAAACAACAGAGGGAAACCTTTGCTGAATCCAGCAAGAAACCACAACCTTAATTATTGAGATATTTCTCAAGGGGATGCCTTCGGGATATAGATAGCTAAACAACTTAGGGATCTTTTATCTAGACTGTGTATTGTAAGATAAAAGAAGTGATTGACCATAAGTCAGTAGGCAAAGTAAGTCCTAGCTGTGTGTCATATATTTGGAACTATCTAGACTTGGTGTCGTAAGATAGTGGAATCAACCATAAGTCAGTAGTCAAAGTAAGCCTAGCTGTGTGTTGAGCATAAAAATAACCTATTAAATAGAAAACTCGGATTGCATTCTCTCACTACCAATAAATAGCATATCATGTATTCATTAAAAATTAATTTATAATAGTAGTATTTAATAAAGAATTAACTTTAATCTTAATTGATAAAGTGAAGTAGTAAATTTGGAGTTTGGAAACATTGACCTTGAAAAAATATTTAATTTTGAAATATTAATTATACTCAAGTAGTAAAACATATTGCTTTTAAAAACTATAATATTTATTTGTGAGGATTTTATTACCCAAGGATTTTAAAAGAGTAATTAATATGTGTAAAATCTTAAAATCACCTCCCTATATATTTATCGATCTTGAAATGTATTTATTTCAAAAATAATAAAAACAATAAATATTTTAATATTAATATCAATATTAATGAAACAAATACCCTGCTGACATTTTTGAATAATATGATAAAAAACAAATACTCATTATGATGGGTTAAGAGTCACCAAAATTAATGTATACCAGTATTATATATTCTTTAACTATTACTTTCTTATAAACTTTGGTTCTTAGCTAACTCCTTCAGGAAAATGATGGAAAATAATGGAAGAAAGTTGGCAATATAAAAAACATGAAGAATACAGCTATAAAGTTGGTTTGACAATTTTGATAAAAAGTTTTTATGTCCAATTGAAAAGTACTTTAAAATTACCACTATATACACAATATAAAAAGATCAACATTTTAAGTCACATTCGTGATAATTACGAAATTCCACTATGCTGTTTGAACAGGTGGGACCGTTCTGGGAACACAAAAATTAACAGGAGGGAACACAAAATTTTAACCCATGCTATTTGTTGATT